CATTCCTTTCTTCTTTGTCACTAGCCTCTGCAATTTCTGGGGGAACAACAATATCAGTTTCATTCTGGTCACTATTAACATTATCATCATCTGTTTCCTTATCAAAAAGTCTTTGAAGGGCTTCTTCTAATGTAAGGTACCTCGTTCTAGGCATTTTTAAATAACCACAACAAGAACCAGAACATCGAAAGGAATGAGTGAAAAAGGAAATTGACTAACCGTTTCCTGTTGACGTTGCGTCAGCGCAACACCTGTTTTCCCTTCCTTCCCAACACAAATAAAAACATCTGCCTGATGTTGTGTTCTGATAAATGGTGACCTTGACTAAAAATAGATCACTCATAAAGATGGCAATTCTTTCGTTAAATATTTTCAGCAAAAATACCCGGTCGAAAATTTTGCTTAAAGTATGAGATTAATTATTATAAACAAAATGATTGCTGAAGGCAATTTTTTTTTTTTTTTTTACAGAAATAATCTTCATAATATTCCCTACACAAAATCATCTGCTGGTATAAAATATCTTAGGTAGTTATATTTATATACTCATTTATTTTGACCGTTGCATTAACAAAACACCAGCGGCTAATGGGTTAATTCAATTGCTCTGAGTCTATTAGTCTCAAAGCATTTGAATTGTAGCTGGAAACTAAGGCCTACATACTCTATTAGACTAATAGTGAGCTATTATTATGTCTTAACAATTCATAAAGTACTAAAGAGGGTTTAAAATAACATTTGTATGGTTTTTCTGAACTGAGCATAAAAGCACAACTTGTGTTATAGTCAAACCACCAATTGTGGATATTCAAATTAAGCAATAACAGATAATTAAATTCAAACACAAATAATGTAATCTTAAATTCAAACACAAATAATGTAATCTGAGCCTACACATTCAATAGAATGAGAAATAAGCTGAGTTATTACCAATCCATAAATTTAAAACATCAGCTAGAGAGAATGCTGAAACCAGAATATCACTTTTAAATAGAGTTCATGAAAACTAGCTGCACGTGCAAGTTCCAGAAGCTTGCTTTAAGATTCAAAACCTTCAGCTTAAAGTCAATTTGGATCCTGATGAGAAATGCGAAAGATGTTGCTTCACATTTTACAATCCCACTGGCATCTGCATTTTCATTAAAAACAAACTTTTAATTTGGAGAACTTGTCCTATGCATGTTCAGCATTTAAAAAAAGAAAAGAAGGAAAAAAAAAAAACTTTATAAAGCTTTTATAAAGTTTTTATAACTTTTATAAAGCTTTTATAACTTTATAAAGGTTTGTACTGATTGCCATAGTTCCTAAAATCTTCTTTTATTTTTAACTGATCACGGAGATCCCAGTAATTTTACAATGACAACATAACAGGTGAATTTCTCAGTTATTTTAAAGAGTCTTCAAGAATTTTTCAAGGCAAGGAAACAGAAGAAATCCATAATGCCATTGTCAGAATTTCAACTCTGGACCTTTCAAATACATATCTAGTTATATCATGAAGGCATTCAAAAAGGTGGGAGAAAATGCCTTATATACTACCTCTTTTAAAAGGCGACCAGAAATTAGAGGACCCAGTCATCAAACACTAGTGTTGATGAATTATTATCCACTACCTTTTAGTTTGAATGCCACTTGTAGAATCATTTTCAGAATGTTTTTTATGTCAGGAAATTGAAGAAATCCGCAATACCTTTGTCGAGATTCTAACTCCAGACCTCCTGAGTATGCGTTCAGCGTGCTTCCAGTTACACCACAAAGGGATGCAGGAGGAAGAAAAAACTTTATAATTTTAACCAGAGAGCATGCACTTTGGGTTCAATGGACCTGACAAACTTAAACAAACTTTTCTCAACACTAGTCTTCATCAACACTAGTCTTGCTTTCAACACTAATCTTGTTTTTGATTCGATTGGGTCTTGAGACCCAGCCTGTCTATTCGCATTGCTGTTATGTAGTTGATTTATGAAAGTATAGAAAGTGGCAGACATATCGTGTAATTTATCATATTAAGAAGAAATGTAAAAATTACTAGAAGATGTATCAAAGGCAAAAAAATTATTGAAGAATATGAGGATGGAAGTGATCACGAATTTTTAGTTCGCATTATACTGATTCTGAAACTGATATAGATTCTGAAAAGGAAAATGAGAATGACATAGATTACTTTATTAGGAAAGAAATATTGGAAGTGGTCGGGAAACAGTGTTTGCCCAGCAAAAAGGCGCAGAAAAGCAGAAGTGTGCTACGCTGAATATGAAAAATATTTGTGTTTGGAAGACACGACAATACTTTGTTCAATGCACTGCTAATGTTAGTTGTTGCATTTTTTCTTTGTTACTATAGTGTTAATAAAAAAAGGAAAAATCGATGCAGAGTAAAGGTGTACTATTTCTTTCCCTGTGCTAATATGTAATACGTTTTTCTGTTTCTATAAGAAATTTTATTTCATAAAAATATTTGGAGAAATTAAAAATTTTAATGTGCATACTTTTTAAGTTCGATTGTAAAATTTATTATTGGTATAGACATAAAACTTTTAGCTGAATATTTATGATTTTTTTCCTTCAAAAAACATGAAGCAAATCTTTTGGACCCAGCGTGCACACTTGTATAACTCAAGTGAGCATGGTATAATTCTTGGGTTATTAAAAACAGGGAGCATTTACAAGTAGATTATCAGAATTCTCTTAATAGTAAAAGATAGCAACCATGGGTAAATTTACTGATTTGAGTGAGTTTGATCATAGACAGTTTGTAATCTCTGTAAGGCTAAATGTTGGATTTAGTGACTGCCAGAATTTTAGTCATTTCACAATACCATTGCAAGAATATACCAATAATATGTAAAATTTGTCCTAATCATAAAGCATGTAGCAGTCCTGCTGTAGATGCTCATGGTGACTGGGGGCTTGGTAAAATAATGTCTAAGTAAACAGCAGTGCTTTTGCAGCAGGATCACATCAAATTTTAATGTAGGTGTTTCTGTAGACTAATGAAGACTATTTGGTAACAATGTCAGTAACAATTTTCTACTGTTTTAAAAGTTATTTACTTATTTCTTAGCCGGCGAGACTAAAACGCCATTCTAAATATGAAAATAAATACAAATATCAAGAAAGCAGAAAAACATGCCAAAATAAAGCATAAAATTAGGCTAAGTAATAACCTTGTGTTCAGCGTAGGTTTTAATTAAGACTCTATCAATTTCAAGGGCAAACAGATACAAATCTCTCTTTTTCAGGAGCCAAGAAATATGTAAGAAGGAAGAAGTCATGGCTATAGTTATACAAAATGCAAAGGTGTAACACCATCTCTTTGCAGAAATAGTAATATTTCTGATATATATATGTATAATTTGGGGGCAAGAGCAAAATGGAGATATAGCTTACTAAAAGTGTAATTTTTGATATTATTAATTATAGATGGAACAAAATAAAAAGCTGCTTCAAATCATAAAATTTAAGGGAAGAGTGCAGTTTGCTGTATTAACTAAATTTAGGTTTCTCAAAAATAATTCCTTCCCACTGTCATGTAAACAAAATAAAATCAGTACGAGCAACATCCTGCACCAAATAAATGTGTCATTGAGTTTGCAAGTCAAATTAAGAAGTGCTAACCTCTCTTCTCAACTATTCAAGAGCTGAACGTATGTTGATGGCTAATGTTAATATAACATAAATCTATGTATTATCATTAGCCACAGTGTGGTTTCCTACACAGCAAGAGTCTGAACATGCAGGTATCTCAGTTGAGAGAAAAATCACTTTTATAGCACATTTACCTTTTTCTTGACTCTATAAGAGAAAAAAAATCTTTATAAAAAAAGTAATGAAGAAAGAAAAGAAATTTTTGCTAATGGTCTTGTAGGTCCTGATAATAGATCATTCTGAAATTGGACATCAGGATTTCAGACTTTGTATTGTATAATGTGTAAGGATTATATTAATTTATCTAGCAGTTAAATTTTGATTTAAACTTCCTACCATTTCTGAATTTCAACTTACAACTTCTGGTCAGAACGTAGTTTTAGAATGACATTTGAATGCAAATTGAGGAAGAGCAGTATTTAACCGCGAAGTTCTACTGTCTTAGAGAGAACCAGAGATTCTGGCTAGCACGTGTCCGCCTTTTTAGGCTACTCTCTCTTAAGCTATTATTATGCTTGGCTGTGCTTTAGGCCCTTGATAGCTTTGCTGTTAACCAGCTTTAAGGGGCCAACTCCGTTAGATTTTTTGATAGCTTCAGCTATATCTTTTTAGTTAAGATTAGTTTAGTTTAATTTTAGTCTTTTAAGTTCAAGCCCAAGTGTCTGCTTTATTGTACAACTCCAAGACAGAGTTCTGTTACTCCTTATTGGAATAATAAAGGGTTATTTCACCCTTCTTACTTGTTGTTTCCCGTACCACAGATTCAAGCGATTATTCGCTTATCAGTTTTTAAGATTCTTCACATACAACTGTAACTTTAAAGTACACAGTAAAGAATCTTACAAATGAGTTACATAATAATATTTTTATGCTACTGTATTTAGCACTGAATTTTTTTAATTTGTGAATTTTGACAATTATATCTGAAATGTAGATTTTGTATTTGTTACTTAGTCCCTTGCTTTTTTCTGATATTTTTTTTAACTTTATGTCATGTGTCTTTTATTGAATTACAATTTTAAGTTATCCTGATTTTTTGTATGCTTTGGAGATACATAAATTGTCTACATAATAAACTTTTAAATATTAAAAAAAGGATTAAAAAAATATGTTGACTAGAGATATGTTAAGGAGCAAACTAAGTAATGTGTCATAAATGGCAGTATAAAGTGTGTTAATTATTGTAGAAATTTGCACATAGAATAGAATAAAATGTAAAATTGCCATCTAGCCTTTAAAAAAATAAATAAATATTTGTGTTTCTTGCTTTTAGTAATTTTTAAGTGTATATTCTTTTCTAGTTACATTTTTAACGAGTTTTTGAAATTCTCCAATAAGTTTTCCCCATTTTAGTTATAGTTGGGAATGTCTAGCTGATGCTTATCTAAAAAGAGGTAGTTACGAATCTGCTTTGAAGGCATTTGAAAGAGCATCAGAACTTAATCCAAAAGCTATGTATCCACTTTATCAGTAAGTATTTTTTCAGTAACTTAATATTAATCCTTATAAAATATGTAGGTTATTTTTAGGTATTTTTCATCATGACAATTATGTCCAGTGTTTGTGTATCAGTTCAGTGTCATAGCTAGACTTTTTACCACCCACCAAAAAACCAAATTTATAAAATGTTAAAGCGATACACAGTTATAAATAAAAGTTCTGTGTTAAATTTTAGCACAAAACTTTAATTCCATTATTTTAAATTGGTATTTTTGCTTGTTTTTCTGTATCGTCAGTAATATTCTAGAAATTTGTTTCATTACTCCAGTTTTTCTTCTGTAGACAGTATGGTATTATTTAATACAAGGTACTCATTTTTAGGTCCTAGGTGCTTTTTTACTGATTTGTATATAGAAAAATTCCTCTCAAAACAAGTAATACTTACTGCAAGTGTGAGGAAAATTCAAAACACTAGATCAACCCAGATTTTCTGAATATTTCACTCTCTTTGAGGTGCTTGATAATAACATTAATAATCATGAATATTATTGAATCAAATTACTTTTCAGTAACTTCTCACAAGTTAAGAATAATTCAAGTCTGCAATTTAAATACATTAAAAAAAAACTTGAAATAAACACTTGTTTTAGCAGACTACCAGCTAATATTCAGAAATCTTGTAAAACAAAACAAATGGCAGGAAAGAAGGCTAAAGAAATACCAGCCAGTACCATTTAACTAAGGAGAATAACAAAATGACATTTTTTTTCAGCAAGCTGCACATGAGAAATTGAAGCATTGTTGATACAGCAGATTTCCAGGTCCTAAAGGAACCCAAATGCCAGCTGCTGTTTTGGCAAATGATATTTTATGTGGAGCTTGACTTAGAGATTAACTACAGAACCCTAGCTGGCTCTCCAAGGTCCTTCAATATATTTTAGATTTAGATCAAATGAATGCACCCCATAAATTCTTAACTGTGAGTAGTAACTTCCTTCCCTACATTCAACCACCTTCTGTCTTACATTAGCTTGATCATTACAGTGCTTATCTTAGTAAATAATAATAAGCATTAACAAAATAGGTGTATGTGATCTCTTCCAATAAAAGAAAAATCATAATGTAATCCATACTAAGCAAGGCATTCTCCAGTCATTAACTAGACATTGTCATTGGGCATTAGATCTGGAGAATGGGAAGGAAGGCCAGGGTGACAATTCAATTGATGGCCTAAGAAGAAAGCTTGCACTTTGCTTGCAATGTGTGGTCATAGTCCATATGGGTATCCATCTCCACCATTCAGTGCACCTTTGCTAATGCAAATGCCTGTGGTTTAAAGTTAATGATAAGCGAAGCAATGGATGCGTAGCTGGCAGTACATTGAATTATTTGTGCAGACTCCAACTCCTGTGTTACAGACTGTATTCATTGTGATATGGTCGTGAATATGGCAATACGCTGTATCAGTGCCATGCACAAAATAATTCGTGTCTTCCCACAGAGTGGTGCGGGTTGCGATGAGGCGGTTGCAGTTGCTCCTGTCCATCGGTTATTCTCTCCTGCATCCACTGATTCCATATTTGGTTTGCTGTTGCTTGACTACATCTGACACAATGATCAGTTTCCCAGAAGGATAATCCAAAAATCTCTATATGTAGTGATTCTGCTTCAGTCTAACTCAGAAACGTGATCGAATAATTCTCATGTTCTGCTGTGAGGCATACTGCAGCTACACATGGAAAAAATCTCTTGAGAGAACAATTCACGTTGTTCAAAACAACATCTCTCCTCCCTTTAAATCTGGATTAAAAGGAGCACTGCAGTCACCCATGGTGTGCACAAGCACTGAAATCATAATCCTTTGCATATTCCATCGTGGTGTACATATGATGCAAGTTTCATTCTGTTTGAATGCTTTCTTCATGGTGTTGCATTTTGGATGGCCAGCAGTTTATTTCTTTAATTAAAATATATGTTAAAACTTTCTGCTGCTTTTGAAAATTTAATTAGGTATGTAAATTTTGATTTCATACTTATTACTTTATTAATTAATTACATATGCCAAATCAATAAACTCAAAGTGAAATTAATGAAAGAGGCTGCTTAGATAGTACTTTACATTTTTAAGTGAATTAAAATGTTATTCCTTGGAATATGAAATTAAATAATTGAAATATTTGATTTGTTCTACTCATATTTAGTGGTTAATTTTTTTTTAAATGTATTTCTACGCGTTTTCTTTGAATTAAATTTTTCAAAAAGTTTGCTTTGTTTTGTTTAATTTACTGTAATACATTTTAGGATTGCAACCATACAAAAATTACGAGGATTTTTCACTGAAGCCATTGAACAGTTTAAGAGCCTTTTAGATATAGTTTCTTCTTATGTACCAGCATTAATAGGTATTGCTATTGCTTGTTATTATTTTTGAAATATCTGTGTTTTTATTTTTTTTTAATTTAATCGAGACAAAAATCAAATGTAAGAAAATAGAAGGCTTTCTTATTTGTATGATATTATTTTTTAAGTTTTTAAAAATTTTAGGAAATAAATTCTATTTATATATATATATATATATATTGGAAAGGGAAAGTGTATAATATTTTAAAATGTTTTGAAAGGTTTGGCAGAAACATACGTCTTGTCAGCTAAAAAGGCTTTTGGGGATTGTTTATTTGGACTGTCCCGCGATTATTGTCAAGAAGCATTGCAGGTACTTGCCAGGTAAATTTATTATTACTTTTGTATTTTTACTATTTTTAATTAATTTACTTTTGTTTAAATTATTTTTAACCTTTTCATTTCTATTACTGTTTAAAGTAATTATAAGCAAGCAAACATTAATAATATGCTTCAGTATACATCTGCTTTGAAAATGTCGAACTTGGTATATGTCCTGTTTGGATGCAAAAATTTTTATTTGGAATAGGACTGAAATTCAATGAGTCACAACTAGGAGTGCTATACTTCTTTATCTCTTTGGAGATAATGCTGCAACTGCATATGAGTGTCAGGACGTCTATTGCTGCTTTTCAGTAAATAATCTGAACTGTAGCTCTGAATTTTAAAGTGATTTTGTGTTTTTTCACATGAATTGTTTATAAATTAATTTACAATGTATTTTAAATGAGAAAAGTCAAGCAATGAAGAAAATGGTTAGGATCATCATGGAGGTGATAAAGAGATTTTTAAAAAATATGAAGATGGCATGTGTATCCTTAACTTGGTCATTGCATACCCTCTGCTGAGTATTATGGTATTTGAAGTTGGGAAAAACAAAGATGCTTTTAAATTCAATAACATTGCAAACGGGGTGAAATCGATTATCAAACAAAGATTACCAGAAGTGTTAGAGCATGTTGAAAAATTGCTTTTGATCTGGATTGCAGGAAAACATTTATGTACAATATATATTTCAGTAGTAAATAGTGTTATAATAATAACAATCAGAAATTTTTTATATGAACTGATTTATTATTTTACCGTTATTTCTTATTGGAAAATTTTCTTTGATATGTACGTAAAAATATGTAATAGATTAATGATGTGTACTGAGTTACCAACTGTATAATCTGTTTAATGAAAACAGCAAAATATTCCATTTTATTTATCAGAAAAATATTATTTTTCTAGGCAAATAAAATGCATTTTCCAGCAGTTCTATATTTATTACAAGTATTGTCATAATTAGTGCTGTTTTTGCGCCCTGAATGATATATGGTTTGCCATGTCGTTTGGCACAGGTTCGAATCCCAGTGGAGACTTGGATATTTGTAAGAGTATAGCATCTTTGCATCATACATGGCTAGCTGAAAGTTCTTTCAAGTGATTTGGTCGTAGGGGAAGAGGCATGGGAGACATTTGGACCTATCCCCCCTGAAAATTTTCCTTCAAAATGGGAACAGTACTGACAAAATCATGCTGCATCATAATATGTCCAAGGTTAATAAAAATGACAGAATGCAGTCTGGTGCTTCTTACCGTGATAAAATCCATGGACTTCTCAGACAAGTGAGATAAATCAAGAAGAATAGTTAAGCATATTGTTCATGTTTGATGTATATAATTGGAATTATTTTATAAATATGTAATCCAAACTCTTAATATTGATTTCTGGTTTGTTAAGTTACTCAAAAATACTTGGAGTGTTATTAGCTTAATTTGATATTAGCAATTCATTTAAATGTTACATAAGGTTTTTATAATTTTTTACTCAAAGACTATTTTCAAATTTTAGAGTTGCTGCTTCAAATTCAAGACTTGCATGTCTGTGGAAATTAGCTGGTGATGCTTGCATACTGTCTTTTAATTTTGATGATAAATGGTTTCCACTTAGTATACCTGCAGAATTACATCAAAAAGCAGAAGAATGTGATGCTCTTACCTGCAGTAAATCTGAAGTTCTTCAATTTGGATCAAAGTAAGAGTTCATTAGAGAATAGAAATATTCTAAATAACTGTTTGTTTTCAATGTGAACATATGAAACAGAATTTCACTTAAGAAGTTTATATTTGCAAAAATTTACAAAACAGCTGTATTGTATAAAGTTGTTTATTTATTTCTAGTTATTATTAATATTTCCATTTTTATAAAAGTTTATACAATCATGTTTATGCACCTAAAGATCAATAATAAGGCAATTAATAATAATTTAAAAACCAAAACAAGCATATGACAATAATGACATAAATATTTTTCTTCTAATATTGTACATGGATTATAATTTTGGGTTATTGGAAGAATTAATGCAACAAGAATCAGCAAAATATTCATATTTGTTGCTTTAACTCCTCCAGTACTTGTTATTCAGTGTGTTATTTCAATTCAAATGTAATTTAGAGTTTTGTCAAGATTATTTCCATCAGAATTTGACCCTCTGAGGGGCACTGCTTTTTGAATCTGCTTAGGAAAATCTTGTATATAAACAACATTTATTAGCTAAATTTATCATTTCTTAAACTTTCCTAAACTTTTTATCATTAAAGAAAGCAAAATATTTTTAATTATAAGGTAATACAGTACAAAGTCCGAAATCCGGAATGATCTAACATCCGGACCTCAAAACCACCAATGTTTTCTCGTAGGCTTTATGCATGCGCATTTGATTCGCCTCTCCATGCGCAGTAAAACACCTGGAGAGTCCCGTTTCTTAATTTCACTTTGGCACTAAATAAAATACCTTGTTTTTGAAGAAACAATCATTTTAGCATAAATTTATATGATCAGTAATTTGGCTTCGTTGATGTGTATCTGCTTGGCATACATCTCAAACTGAGACATTCCATATTAGATACATCATTGATCTGATGCCAACCTGGTGAATTATTATTTATTATACTTTCCTTTCATCACCACATGGTTATCAAAACATGACAAATTGAGTAATGACTCATGTAGCGATGCCTAAAATTTTTTTTATGTTAGTAATTGAATAATAAAGGAGTATGTAACCTTTTATGTTGACATTACACTTGGCGATGATTACAGATTTCAGTTAAATGCGCTAAAAATGTTGACGAGGAAAATTTACCAAAAATTTCTTTCCATATCAAATTAAATTTTTGGTAAATTTTGTTAAAATGTTAAAAATAGATTTTGTTGATGATACTCATAGACCCAAAGATTACATTTAGGACTATTTGAATTAAGAACAACTGATTTGTTATTCATATAAACCCAGAACCAGCACCAGGGCTCATATGGCCGCACCGAGTCACAGAATTTAGAACCCACAGAGACTGCATCAGGCGGCAAGATATCTAGTGTCGGCCCTCAATAAGGCTTAAGTATATGTGGGAATTTATTTATTCAGAACTCTGATAAGCCTTAAGCAATGTGCAAGAAATATACATAAGTATAATAAATAACTAATACAATTCAGGCCTAATTGTCTCAGTACGCGATAGAAGCAAGATAAAATTTAACAAAACAACTGGTCATTAGTCGCCAAGCTCATAATGCATAGCCAAATCTCTATAGTGAAGGATAGCTAAATTTGATGATGACAGATGTTAATTTTAAAGGTTTTTGGATATCGCAAAACAAAGGTGAAATTTTCCAATTGGCGGATTTTGTAAAGAAATGTGGGGAAGCAGTAATAAATGAAAATGATGTAAATGAAGTTTTTATATTATGAATGATGAAATCTGTAGTGTGTTTCTAGATTCAAAAAATACCTCTACCAATACTGAAGAAGGTGACAGAGAAATTACTGAAAATGGACAAGTTATTGGAATTCTCGAAGCAGCAGTTACAGGACTTCAACAATGTAACTAAACAAGAGATTATGTCTGTCTACGGAATTAGGCCCACCAGCGGCCAAGCGGTAAAGTCGCTGAACACTGGTAGTTTGGTCCGAGGTTCGAATCCCGTGAATGGGCTGGCTGCATGGGTGTTGTCATGGTTTTCCCCATGTGTAACGTGTATACGAGCTTAGTTTCCCTTAAAGTCCTCCACAAAGGCTCCCTCCCCTTAGGCATTGAGGCTTGCCATATTAAATACTAACCTGTCTACAAATTAAAGAGAATGTATTAGCAAAAACGAAGCAACTTAAAAAGTCATCCACAAAGGTGTCCCTCCCCTTAGGCAGATAGCCCTTGAGGCTTTGCCATAATTAAATAACCTAACCTGTCTACAGAATTAAAGAGAATGTATTAGCACATAAAACGAAGCAACTTAAAACAACTTACATTGAAAGAAATGTTTAATAAAGCAAAAAAATAAATATTAAGTTTTTTTTTTGTAAATTTTGACACTCTTTAGATCATAAATACTTCATTATTTCATAAATCACAATTTCATATTTTCAATTTTATAATTTCGACATGCCATCTTACTAGATTTAAACTGATGATCTATTATCTGGAAAAATCCAGAATTGCCGAAGTCCTGACGAGTCCGGATTTCAGACTTTGTACTGTATAACCAAGTAACAAAATATCTCTAATGACCGAATATGTGTGCTCATGTCATTTGAGGTGTTGATACATAATTGTTTTTAAGATTTATTGCAATATTATTACAACATATACATGAATTATATTTCAATTTATAATCATTGTAATATATTCCCAAAAAAAAAAAAAAAAAAACACTGAAGAGTGATCTAATTGTTCTTTGCATGAAAATATATGGAATTTTTTATATTAATTTATAAAAACTAATTATCATTTACGAACTGCACTTTTTATCTGTGGGGAGACTATATAAAAAAATTAATTTTATATTTACAGAATCCTCTTATCACAATATTAAAACTATTTTATGTAAAATTAAGTATATTATTTAAGAAATTTTGTAACTGGAAAGCACAATTCTAAAATCAGCATGTAATGAAATAAAATCTGTAGCCATCTTTTCTAAACACTCTGCATGTATAACTCCTAATGTTAGTTTTTCTGTTGATTCTGGTACACAGTATGTATAAAAAATGAATTTTTTAAAATTGTTGTTGTTCAATTTTCTTTATAGGTTCTTTGGTCGGGCCTTAATTATTAAAGAGAATGTCAGTACTCTTTGGCATGATTTAGGGGTTACGTATCATCTACAATCTGTGCATTCTGTAGACAACAATGAAAAATTAGACTTTGCTAAGAAGGCATTTATTTGTTTTCAAAAAGCTGTGTGTATAACACCGAATTATGAAGCTCACTGGACTGCTTTGGGAGTAGTTGCTACAGGAAAAGGTATTATAGTTCATTTCCTAGTAAAACAAGGTTTTTTGGGGAAGGGGGGTTAATTATTGTTAGGAGTTATTGTATTAATTCCATCTATATTATTTCTTCTAACTATGTAAATGTAAAATTTCCAATGTTGATATGTAAAGACATTTAAAATTTCTATTATATACAAGAATATATAAGCATCTAAAAGCTCTTTGAATTTGAAGGATTATGCCACTTCCTGGAAAGGGATTATTGTTAATTTTTTCTGTATGAATGTTCATGTGTTTAATATTTTATTCTTGAAGAAGGAAACTGAAATTTTCTAAAGTGCATATATGTTGTATAATTCAAAAATTCATTTTTTTTTTTTTAGATAATTATTTTGCTCATTTACATGCTAAAAGGATTTAGTTATATTTAGATAAATTAAACAATTCAGCGTTCTTTCAGAAAGCTTTCTAAAGGTATTAAAAAATTATGACAATTTATAAGAAACTATTTCTGATGTTAACGAATTATAAATGGAAGCTTAGAAAAGTGCTAATAATTAATTTGTTAATAATATGCTAGTGTTAATAATTTTTCTAATAATATAGTAGTATATCATTATTTTAATGTTAATTAAATGGTAATTTACAATGTTATATGTTTTTTCATTTTTTAGCTGTATAATTTTTTAGTATATCCGAAGAGAAGTCATTAAAAGTATTTCAGACTTTTATCTTTAAAAAAAAAAAAAAAAAAAAAAAAAAAAAATCAAATTATACATTTTTCTGCAAAATTGGAAGGAACTGCAAATGACTTTTAAAACTTAATTGAAAAGAGCAATCAAATCAGTTTACAAATTTCAGTAGTAAATTTTTATTAAATTTTGAATCTAGTATTGTAATTTTAAAAGGAAATTTATTTGAAAAACTTGTATACATACTTTGAGATTATACAACATTTCTTTCTTACAGTTACTTCATATTGCTATTTTTATAATTTCTTTATACAGTCAAAATGATTTTTTCAATAATTCTTTTTCACTTTAATTATTTCATGTGAAACATCTCTGAAAATGGAAATACTCTATGATGATATATAATTTTCTTCTTTAATGAAGTTGCTATCTCAATAATTAGAATATTTTTCACTTTTTCAATATTTAGCTGAAAAACTAGCATTAAAATACTTTTCTGCTAATGTTTAAAATTATATTTAAGAAACTGTATGTTTAGCTGAACAAACAATTTTACGTCAAACTGCTTTAAGATTTTTTTTCCTCCTCCTTTAGAATTAAAATAAAACACAGTGTTTGAAATAGATGGGGGAAAACATTATTTTTACATATTATCTAATTAAGTTTGTGGGACTATTTAAAATGTTATTCCTATTTCTTTATTCGACAGAATTCTTATTCACTCTCGTTCAGTTGTATAAATTACAGTGAAATATTTTTTTTTTGATTTCAGGTGATATAGCTATATTTGTCTGTTTTAAAAAAGCTGTCTTATAATGTGCAAATATTCACCAACTCTGAAAAGTGGGAAATTTATATTTTCTTACTGTCATATTTTTAAAACACAATTTTTATACTTTGGCATTATTGCAGAATTACAAGACTCTGCTTTTGGACAGCATGCTTTGATTAAATCATTGCAACTTAATAGAAATGTAAGAATTTCATTTCTTTTATATTCTGATAATTATATATATATATTACATATAAATGTATCTATATAAAATACATATAAATGTATTTATATAATCATTTTCTTCTGTATCTGTTTTCCTGTGTTAGAATGCTGAAACATGGACAAATTTAGGAGTTTTATACTTGGAAAATGGAAATATTGAGGTAATTTGAAGTACATAATACAATTTTTTATCTAGTATATGAAGGCTCTGAAGAAGAATGTTTAATCAAATTTAAAAGTGTATTCAGTTTTACAGTTTATTGGATATATTTTAAAATATTTATTCTGTTAATTTATTTAGGATTTAGTTTTAATATTAGTTTGAATTATCTAATCATCAAGAGCGTCTTTTCAGGAACATCGTACCTCCTCTGTATGGGTTGTATCAAAATCGAGTTAGTATGGTGAACCCGATCGGAGATGTTACTTCACGGAATGCACATTCATGCATGTGTATAAATTTAATACCTATTCTGACACCGTATGTGATCCTTCACGTAGTAACTAAAAATTTTTCTTCTCCGTAATTCAGTCACGAAAAAAAGCACTTGAGACTTAAAATAAGAACTTAAAAACACACAGTACATTGAAAATGAGAAAGGAAAATAATAGAAGTTAAAAACTTACTTAATTATACAGTGCGTTCTAAATGAGAAAATAAAATAATAGTAATAAAAAGCTTACTAAATTATGTGACTCAAATCTTATTTATTGCAACAACTTAAACTATTATGACTTCTTATGAACTCTCTCTTTTCGACCTACACCAGAGCATATCTGTGATTGTCGACATAACACCGGTGAGGGTCCGAATGTACAAGAATGTAATGCAATATTGGTTTCCATAAATTTCAGTTAGCTAAATTTTTATAATAGGTTTAATTTGCAAAACGCAGCTATTTTATGCCCCAATTCAACTTCAAAAAATTTCTTTCATGATCCACTGCTTCCCCCCCTGTCCAAGACACAAAAAAAAAAAAAAAAAAAAACTGCATATTGTTAACCCCTTTGCAGTCGGATTAAATTTGGAGATGGGTATCGTACTGGTCAGAATTAATTTCCGTCGATAGAGCAGGGATACATAACATGCAAGTTTATGATAGATAAACAAGATTTAGTAATTCTTTTGTGAACTTTAGATATATCTTTATTCAATACACAAATCTAGTGATATATTTTGTATAAAAATTATGTTTTATAATTCTCCTTTGTGTGATATTTTTCAAAACACTTTCCAACATGCAGGCCAGTTTTTCGAGTGCATGTATCGCAAAAATAATTGGTTTGGTGCCTTCCACCCTTAATCTTTCTGTTTGAGCATACACTACAATCTTTACTTTTTACATTTTAACAATGCCGCAATATATGCGGTTTTCCATTAAGTCTTTCTTCCTTATCAGAGGTTGATAGTCTTCCTGGTTTTGAATCTGCTCTCACGAAAAACACCTGTCAATTGTGCCACCAATTTTCAGACGAAAATGTGGCATAGGTGTCCTGTTCTCTCTTCTAGCTGAATTTTGGGTAATTATTTTGGAATATTTTAAGAAAAGAGAATGTCTAATTAGTGTTAAATACAATTTATAAAATATTCTTTGGAATTCTACAAGGTATCGTCAAACGTTGTTGATTTCATTACATTCAAAAGATGACTGACTCGCCACTGCATCTTGCATGGCAAGCGCTGAGTCACAACTTTTGTTTAGTTTAGATTATGTTATCTCCAATCGATGGAGCACCGTATTGGTTCGTGAATAGGTTCTTTAGGCATTGAGGTTTGTATAGGAAAAGTGTAAACTGATACATGAATGCATACAGTATGCGATTCGTATAATTCCTTGCTGGAGTGGCTGAGAGCAGACATACGACCGGAATGGTAAAAAGGCTTTGGTGGCTGAGAGTGGACATACGAATGCAAAGAGTTAAATCATATAATTTTTTTATCTGTTTTTGGCACAAGGTAATCAGGAAGTTATACAAGAAATGACATACTGTAACTATATTTTTCTTTTTATCTGCATTGTTATAATTAGGTCAGAAAATAGCAGAAAAACTACTCAGTAAAAGTAATTTGGTTGAGTAGTACGAGGGCTATTCATAAAGTAACTTATGTTTTGCTGCTGCGTGGCGAGAGATAGTACTAGTATCCCCATCTTGCTGTCAGAATGTCTACTGAATCCTTACACATCCAGTTGTAATCGTTGATGGCACGTATTGCCTCTAATTTGTTCACTGTGAATGTGTAAAATATGTGCTGTAATAGGCAATCCCTTCAGTTGTGAAGTGGGATCAGTGATTAGATTTTTGTTCACAAAAAAACTGAGACCAATTGAAATTTATCCAGAACTTTGTACGGTGGATGGAAACAACGTAATGGGTGAAGCTGGAGTGAGACAATGGTGCATCATGTTTAAAAATGGCTGCACAAATTTTCACAAGGAAGCCCGAAGTGGCAGGCCGAGCATCGTTAGTGCTGAACTCATAGAGAAAATCTATAAACAAAATTTACGAAATCCACCACTTCACAGTTTCGGAGCTCTCACTTCGAGCCCAATTTAGGATTGTTTTGTTTTTCAAATTAGCACACAGTTTAAGGTACAAATTGTTAGAACCATCTAACAATATTGAGTGATATCAGGTTCAATGTTCCTTCTTACCTTCTTCGGGAACATGCAAGGACCTGACTCGGAACAGAGAGCTTACTAAAGCTATGTTCAATAACTGTGGGAAGTAGACAGGATACACAAGAAGGGTATACAAAACCCTTTATTTTTCTCTATTTACAATAACTTTCCGTACTTCGGAATACAAAGACCCACTACTTGTGGTCTAAACGTAAGAATATAAAAATATAAACTAAACTCTAACTTTAACTTTAGAATAATAAACGTGGAAGATTGGCCTTATATTAACAGGAAGCCGTATGTAGTACAGAGAACTGTGAACACTACAATACGTTTAAAATTATCAAGAGGATTAAAACCTCTGGCCTGGAAGGCAACCAGCAACTGAGTAAAACTTCTAAGGTAAGCGGCCTGCTTCGACTCAACTGCTTCCTCTCTCTCGCTTGGCAAAAAGCCACAACTTAAATACTTGGCGTTCGCCAGACAAACTTTGCATAAATAACCTTAACGCTTATAATTCTGGCCGGAAGTAGAAAATAAGAAGTGATAGTAAAGATTTAAAATAAAATAAACGTTAGTAAAACTTAAGATCCTTACATACTTCCCGCCAGAGTTAATTAGTTTGAAACTGAGATCTAAAACGACCTTGTTGAAAACTTTTAGCTCTAGAATCTAACGCGAGGCCAATCTTTTACAAACATTCTTCGCTAGAAACTAGAAATTTAAAAGAAAGAAATTTGTTTTTACAATAGCAGCTCCCAGGACATACACAATTTTTTTTTCATCTGTACTGCATCTAAACAGGAGCTTTTATTCAAATCTGGTTCCTTCCAGAGATCTGGAAGGAAAACTAGTTTAATGAAATGTTACACAATGAAATGGCAAGTAACATGATAATTATATTTCTCTTAACATTCTTATTTCATTCATGACTATTTTAATTATCTCTCCCCGTGCTCTCTGACATGTGTTGTAAAAGAACACACCAAACACGAATGTGTTTATGTCTATGTCTACGTGTTCAACACTTCCTCCTACAATCAAAACACTAACGTGTTAAAATTCAACATAACCAAGACCTCGTAACACACCCTAATTTCAACTCTAAACCCTGAGGTACTATTCTGAAAGTGGCTAACTCTGAAGTGTAGCGTCAGAGAGCCTAACTACATTCATTCAACCTTTAACACACATATTCACCATGATTTAGTCTTTTTACAGTCACACGAATAAAAAAATTTTAACATTACTTTCACTTTTACCATATCACGGTATTTCTTAACATTTAAAATAACAGTTCACATTGTATATAAGAACATATTAACATGCCGTTAATTTTACGCATTTGAAAACATACATTAGTAGTACATTGTTAACTTCTATTCTTTTCAAAGCAAGTGCCAATTCTTTCTACATTGAAATACTACATTTCAAAAAGTCTTTCAGACTAAAACTTCTTTCTTGCCAGAATGTTTTAAATAAAATTTATACAATAACTTTTTACAATATTTAAGTCTTTACACATTCCTATTATACATCAACTTTAGTTTTACGCGCGAGTAATTGAAAAACATAATACCAAAAAAATCGGTAACAACTCATTTCTCGCCCTTTTTGGCGATAAAGGTAGACCTCGCATGAGGTAAAACTTCTTGAAATCTGCCACTTGCAGTAAGAATGAAAGATTAACTTAAGTTTGCAAAGTAACATAAAATTTTACTTATCTTTGTGATATTCGGACATTCTTTTCTGGCCCAGTCCTTAAAGGTATTGCAGATAGTTTTGATTTATCCTCCTTCTTGTGCGGGCTCGCCCTTCAGTGCCTTCCTCTAGAAGCTTTCTTTTTTTCACCAGTTCGGTCACCCTTGAATACCTTCTTTTTCGCCCTCTGCCTGTGTGGTCTTGGCCGTTTGATGGCAGCTGGTCTTGGCGGAACCGGGAAACTTCTTTCGTGTTCCTGCTTGGACCTCGTTGCTGGCCGTTCAAATTTTCCTTGTAACTTTTCCTCCGCCGCTGGTGGCCCTTCCGCAGTTCGGCGACATTTGCTGCGGAGAGTCCTGTCGGATGAGTAGATCTTCCGTTTTAGAGCCGGGTTATAGTTGCCGTCATTTCTCCTGGCTCTCTTTGCATACGTCGTCCTTCTCCCTTCCCTTCTTCATTCTGGGGGTGTTCGTGAGCTCTCTTTTCTGGACGGTGGAACGGCTTCTTTTTCTTGTTACCTTCAATTTTTCCGCGGGGAAACTTTCTTTTCACTTGCTCCTGCCTCTTAATGGCTTGCCCTTGTACTTGTCGTTTTTTTTCCACCTCTGGAGCTTGTGCCTGCGGTGTCTGCCGTGCCGGATCCTGCAAAAGATCTGAAATATTTGCATTTTATTACGATCATAGTAGGTTTTGATTTGATCAATGTTTGCGGAGCAGGTTTCACCATTTCTGGCTTTTAACACTACTACAGCGTGAGTTATTTTTTCTATGACATATGGTCCTTCAAATCGTGGAAAAAATTTGGCAGTTTTATCTTCTGGTGCTGAAGAAAGTGAATG